ATTTTGTCTCCTCATAGCTCCCCAGTCCATCTACTTCTCCTTCACTGTAACTACCACCCTGGTCCATGCCATCATTATATCTGGTTGCCAAACTGGTCCCTGAGGTCCACACTATCCTCAACACAACAGCCACAGTGCTTACTTAGAACACAATTCACATCAAGTCTCCTCTCTGCTTAAAACCCTCCAGTGACTCAGGATAAAAGATCACGTTTTCCTCCCAACAGGGCCTTGCCTGGTTAGGTTCCCAGCCTTATCCCACATGACAGTAAATTTTAAAGGATTCAAATTACACAAAGAATGTTCTTAAACCATCATGGAATTGAATTAGAAATCAGTCACAGAAAGATGTGTATAAAAGCTCTTCAAACTACACAACACACTTCGAAATAAGCCATGGATCAAAGAAGTAATCACGAAGGAAATTAGGCAATTTTTGAACTGAGTGAAAATGGGAAAATGACATATCAAAATGTATGGGATGAAGCTAAAGCAGTGATTAAAGGAAAATTTATATCATTAAATGCTTACATTAAAAAAAAGTCTCAGGGGGCCGGCCCGTGGCTCACTCAGGAGAGTGTGGCTCTGATAACGTCAAGGCCATGGGTTTGGATCTCATATAGGGATGGCCGGTTAGCTCACTGGGTGAGCGTGGTGCTGACAACACCAAGTCAAGGGTTAAGATCCCGTTACCTGTCATCTTTAAAAAGAAAAAAAAAAGTCTCAAATGAAATACCTCAGCTTCCCAGCTTCCAACTTAAGAAACTAAAAAATGAAAAAAAAAAAAAAAGAAAGAAAGAAAGAAAAATAATAAACCAGAAAAATCAGAGAAAGAAAAGCAATAAAGAAAATCAATGAAACCTAAAGCTGGTTCTTTGNACAGGGTGTGTGGTCTCTGCTCAGCTTCCACCTCCTGTGCTGGACTTCTCCCTGTTCTGTGCGCTCTGGCCTGGGCTGCTGGGATGTGCCGAGGCACTGCAGAGCGTGTGGTCTCTGCAGAGCTTCCCCTTCCCCTGCAGGATGTCTCCCTGCTCTGTGCGTGCTAGGCTGGGCCTGGGATGGAGCCGGGTGGTGGCAGTGAAGCCTACCTGCTGCTATAGGGTGTGTGGACTCTACGGAGCTTCTATCTCCCTTGCTGGACGACTATGTGCTCCGTACGCATTGGGCCGGGCTGCTGGATCGCGCAGCAGCAGTGTGGTCCCCGTGGAGTTCCTGCCTCCCCTGCCGGATGTCTCCCTTCTTCGAGCGCACTAGGCCAGGCTGGGAATGGAGCAGGGTGCCTGTGGCGAAGCCTATCTGCCGGATCGTGCGATGGCAGCCCCGCGGGGCATGTGGTCTCTGCAGAGCTTCTGCCTCCCCCGCTGGATGTCACCCCGTTCCATAAGCACTTGAAGTTATGTTTTTATAGTTTAAATTGGTTGATTTGTGGGAGAGAGTGACGCTAGGGACCGTCTATTCCGCCATCTTGACCGGAAGCCCTAAAAAATAAAGTTTCTGAGGCTGGAAAGTCCAAAGTCCAAGGAACACACTGGTGGTGGTCTTGGTAGTGGCGACAATGACCCAGGGGCCTCACGTTGATAGATGGCAGAAGCAGAGAGAGCAGAGAGACCCCATCCAGTTGTTATCTTTCAAGATGAAGGTGCAGAGCGTGACTGGGTTGGAAACAAAGCCAGAGAGGGCAGGAGCCAGAATGAAGGGCAGCTTGGTTTGATGCCGGGAGACCCCCGAGTGCAGATTTCGTCACAGCCTAAAAAGGTTCATGTCCTCTGGCTGGTCAGTGACCAGGGAGCCCAGGAGACGGTGCTGCCCCAACCCAAGACCTGTATGTGGAAGGATGAGGGCGTCGCCCCCTGCCCTTTCCTGGGACCAGCCTTTCCCTGGGGAGATGCATCCGGCACTCATAGGCTTCTTGGGGTCTGGCCATGCCGAGCTGAAATGGGCACCCTCCACGCTGGCCGGGCCTTCCCACGATGGCCCCTGGTGTGAGCTGGCACTGTGGGCGCCCTCGCGCTGCAGGCGGGGACCAACTCCTGGCTGTGCCCTGCAGTTTCTCCATAATGGTCTCCTACTATGGGCTGGTGCTGGACCTTCAGAGCCTGGGGCGTGACATCTTCCTCCTCCAGGCCCTCTTCGGAGCCATAGACTTCCTGGGCCGGGCCACCACTACTTTCCTGCTCAAGTTCCTCGGCCGCCGCATAATCCTGGCCAGCTTCCAGGCCATGGCTGGCTTCTCCATCCTGGTCAACGTGCTGGTGCCACAAGGTGAGGCGGGCAGCTGAGCGGGTGGCAGCCTGGGGCACCATCTCCCCTGCCCACCCCCCTGCACTGCCCATAGGCCTCCTTGCCTTCTGCTGGCCCCAAGGAGGTGTGTTTTGGGGGCCACAGCCACTGGGTACCATCTCTGCCCAGATCTGTGACTGTCACAACCTCTGCCACCTCATCTCAGGAATCTAATCACCCCCACCAGCCCCATCCATTTTCCTGATGAGGAAATTGAGATTCAGAGAGGAGAAGCCAGGTGCCCAAGTTCCCCCAGCTAGTAAGTGACAGAGCCAGGGCTTGGACTTGTCAGGGGAGGAAGTGCCTGGAAAGCTAAGGGGGAAGGAGGGAGGGAGAAAAGGAGAGTGGGGGGGGGAGAGAGAGAGAGAGATTCTCGCTTGTTAAATGAGCAAGAATCATTTGTGTGCAGAGAGCTGGGGATGCTGCCAAAGGCCCATCTTACTGTTTTCCTTCTGAATGAGGCTGCGATGCCCTGGAAAACCCTCTCATGTCTCCTTTTGTCACTCAGGGCGGGAGATGGGAGGGGACAAAGACATGCGTCCTGCGGTGGCAGCAGAGCCAGGAGGATGCCCTGTAGCCAGTGGAAGGTGTGCCGGGGGCCCTGCAGGTCGCAGCCTGAGCCCAGACTCTGAGCAGTATGCAGCTCTCCAAGAAAATGTCTAAAGACAGGCCTTTCCATGGGAACCGTACTTGACAGTTTATGAGACCCTGCATAACAGTGTGTGGGAAAGGGAAGCCAAGGCTCAGGCCATGGCCAGAGAGTGACCCAGACCTCGGCTTCCTGGCCAAGGATCTGCCATTCACCCACTGGTGCCCACAGGCAGGTGGAGGGGGCATGAGCAGCTTCTGGGGAGTGGATGCCCCTGCTGTGTGCCTGGCACGGCCTGCCCTCTCCTTCACATCAAGAAGCGCCTCAGGACCTGAGGAGCTGCAGGGGCCAGGCCTCAAGGGCTACCCTCAGCTGCACCCAAGCTCACCGTCCCAGACCTGGCAGAGTTTCTGCCCTGTGCCTCACCCTGGCAGCATGCCATGATCCCTCCGCCTGTTCCATGGTCCTGGGTGGCCTGGCACTGAGTCAGCACTGTGGGGACTTGCTGGAGAACCAGCCCCTCTGCTCCAGCCATCTGGGGAGCCTCTCGGGCAGATCCCACTTCCTCTGCCTCCTTTCTCTACCCAGATTTGCAGACTCTGCGTGTGATCTTTGCAGTGCTGGGAAAGGGATGTTTTGGGATAAGCTGCCTCTCGGGCAGATCCCACTTCCTCTGCCTCCTTTCTCTACCTAGATTTGCAGACTCTGCGTGTGATCTTTGCAGTGCTGGGAAAGGGATGTTTTGGGATAAGCTTGACCTGCCTCAGCCTCTACAAGACTGAACTCTTCCCAACTCCACTGCGGTAGGCTGGGCTGCAGGCCACAACAGGGAGGGGCCACCAGACCTCTGGGTAGGGCGAGGAAGGGACACCCCAGGAGGTCCAGCGGGGAGGACAGGGGAGGGACTGGCACCCAGGGGCACACAGCCAGGGCTGGGCCAGGAGCCTCCTAGAACAGACCCTCCCCAGAGGGTCTAGACTCGGAGGCACAGGAGGGCCCTCGGGGGCATCTAGGCCTGTGTTTTGAGGCTGTTTTGAGCCACAGAACCATTTGTTTAGGTGAAATCTTAATAAGAACCCTGATAAGGAGACCAAGAGCTGCCCAGGTGGTAGAGGGACCCCCAATCCACTTCTTACTCCCTTCCTGCCCCAAGAGAAGCCCGAGTCACCTCATCAGGACCCCAGGATTCCGTGAAACACAGTAGAAAGTCAGTGGTCCTGAGCCTCACCATCCCCACATGTGAAGCTGGGTAAACTGAGGCTCAGACTGAAGGACTGACTCAGCAGAGGGTAGGACCGGACCCCGCTCGCCAGGCTTCAGCCGGTGTTCTTCCCACCACTATGGTACTCACCCACCACTCATTTGTCCCTCCTTTCATTCATTTATTTTTTCTGCAAACATTTATTGATTTTGTTGACATTATATGGAAAGCCTGAGCTGGTGCTCGGTGGCCTACAGGTAGCACTGAGAAGCCCCTAAATTACCTATGAGTGAGAATGAGCTGGGCCCTAGAGAGGTCCCCTGAAAAACTAGATGGGAAAATCCGGTAGGCTCCGTGGAGGAGGTGACATCAGGGGAGGCCTTGAGGAGGGCAACGCCTGCAGCCCAGCTGTCCCTCCCCTGGCACCCCTGGGCTCAGCCAAACTGTCCTCCCGCCACAGTAGCTGCGACATGGGTCTGGAACCTCCCCTCCCCCCACAGGATGACAGCAGATGGCTTGCTGCAGTCGGTAGGCCGGCTGGGAGCTATGATGGGTCCCCTGATCAGGATGACCCACCAGGCCCTGCCCCTGCTGCCTCCGCTCTCCTACGGAGTCATCCCCATCGCATCCAGCCTGGTGCTCCTGCTTTTCCTCCCAGAGACCCAGGGTTTTCCACTCCCCGACACTATCCAGGACCTGGAGAGCCAGTGAGTGACCCACGGCCACCCTGGGAGTGGGGCTGGGCTTCCTCTCGGGCTGGGACGGAGACGGGCCTGGGCTGCCCAGGGCAGAGGCACAAGCTCTCAAGCCTTGTGTTTCTGAAGCCATTTCATCTTTACAACAACCCTGCCAGGGTGGTATTCCTATCCCTGTAGACAGATACAAGAGCCGAGGCTCAGAGAGATGAAGTGACTTATCCCAGGTCTCACAGGTAGAAGGTGACCGTAGCTCAGGCAGGAAAACGTAACAGCAGAGGGGTAGGCTCGGCAGCCAGACTGCCTGGAACTGGGCTGTGCACTCCTCTGGGCAAGTTACTTAACCTGTCCTACCAAAATGGACACGAGAAGACACAGACAGTCTCAACTGTCCTGGTCAAATCTGCCCACAAAGAATTCCAGGCCCAGACAGAGCAACAGGTGAGGTCTCTCCAGCCCTTGGGGAAAACACAGTGCCACCTCACATCCGTTCCAGGGGAGCAGGACGAGAGATCTCCCCGACCTCATTTTATAGCCAGGATCGCCTCTGCACGCCAAAAATACCCCAACAACAAAACAGCCTGGCGCACAGAGATGTGCTCAGGTTTGAGTGAGTTATCGTATGAAGGCACCCAGGACACTGGCTGGCCCGCAGCAGGTGCTCTGCACGTGTGGCTGTGTGGCCTGGGTGCAGGGGTTCACAGGGACTCCTGAAGCTGGGCAGGAACCAAGGCCATGATAACAGTGACAATAATAGTGATACATTATTGTTTTAATATAGCATCTTATTTAATTTAATTACTACAACAACCCCACAAGGTGCTGTTATGGTCCAATTTCACTGTTGAGGAAATCGAGATGCAGAAAGGTTATGTAACTTGCCTAAAGGCTCCTGGCTGACAAGCAGGGAGACTGTGACTTAATTTATTCTTTATTCCATTCATTGGTGTTGTGCACCCACCATGTGTCAGGTGCTGTCCTGTGCTTTGAGTACACAGTGGGGAATGAAACGCTAGTGTCCTAGAGCTTACACTCCCTCCAGGCCCAGGTGTGCAGCCTTTTCACCACATATCACTGCTCTCTCTCTGGGTTATTCTAGGAAATCAGCAGCAGCCAGAGGTGGTCAGCGTGAGGTGGTCATTACAGAAAGCACCTGGTTCTAGAAACTCTGCCTACATGGAGCCCCTTTGGCCAAAGACCCCTGGGGAAGGAGTTGCTTCTTCTCCAATCAGAAGGTGGAGGCGAGCTGGGCAACCTGGAGGGCTTGGCTTGGCAGGGCCGGGCAGCCATGGCTGAGTGGGCAGCGGGCCATCTGCTGTGGCTGAAGCTGCCTCCACTGCTCACTCCCACTCTCCCTATGCCAGTCAGATCCTCTGCCATACCCCAGCCCGACAGGAGCCTGCAGCAGGTGGCCACACCCAGCCTGGCTGCTCTCGGTTCCACATGATTAAGATGGGTCCTCTCCTTTTCCCTACCAGGCTCACATCTTCACACCTTCACTCAGCCACCCCAATAGGAGATTGAGGTTCCAATCTCATCTGCAAAAAGGGAATGATCGAGAATTTACTTCCCAGGGTGGGTATCAGGGTTAATTAATCTTAGCACAAGCCAGAGTTCAACAAATGGAGCCTGTTAACAGAGCCTCCAGGTACAGGTTGTGCCCTGCCCGAAGGCACCCAGCTAGGGGGGCACATGGGGGCCGAAATCCAGCCCAGGCCATCCTGGCCCAGCCACCTACACTAATAGGGGCTGTGTCCACTCCAAGAAAGGAGCTGTTTTAATCACCTCCTATTTACCCAGTGGTGAGGGAGGGATTTCTGCCCTATAGTTATGGGGATGGCCAAACACACGACTCCAAACACTGGATGGATGAGTTTGACATCAGCTTATGACTCACATGTACTCACAGCCTGGGGAAGACGACAGGCCCGCCGTGCAGGGCCACATAGGAGCAGCATGAACAACCAGGGGCTGTGGGAGGCCGGCTTTGTAGTATCAAAAGGGCGAGGTGGCTCCTGGTTTCTCAGGAGGCTGTGATTGGCTTGGTTGAATAATTCTTCAGGTTAGCAGGGAAGTGAGCCCCACTAGGGCAGGGATAACAGGACCTGCACGTGGTCTCCTCAGTAAGGAGGGTCGTTGGGCCAGGGGACCTTACCCATGGGAGCAGAGTGCGGAGAGAGCTTGCAGTTAGGCCACCCAGGACCCTCTTTCTTCACCAGATGTTAGGGCAGCACACAATATTGGGCCTTCGTTTTAGGCTTTATACCACAAAAAATAAAGGTTTTGTACCCTTTGTTGTTTGTCTGTCTGGAGGGGACACCTTTTCCTAATTCACACAAAGACCCTCCCTGTGCAAATGGCAGCCCAGGCTACTGAGACTATGGAATGATTGAGGCTGACTGTCTATTTTAGAGGTGAGGAAGCTAATGCTTAGAGAGGTGGAGTGATGTGCTCACAGTCACACAGCTGGACCCAGCCCTGACACCCAACCCAGGGTTCTTTCCGGTGCCTTAGTCTCCTAACCCTTATCTCAACCCCTCTATGTCCCATTATCTGTACCTATATCACAAAATAACCCCCTCACTCTTCCCTGGAGATCCATACCCTTTAGACAGCTGCCCGCTTGACATTTGGATGACTCAGGGAAACCACAAGCCCCAGGGCCTCCTGGTTTACCTCTCTTATATCCGATGCACACCTAGTCAATCCATTTTGTCTCCTCATAGCTCCCCAGTCCATCTACTTCTCCTTCACTGTAACTACCACCCTG